GGGTTCATTCTTTAGTGTAAGCTACTGTAGAAATATTCACAGGAAAACATGGTTACCACCAGTAAGTGTGACCAGCACTTCGATGGATCTATTTTAGGTATAAAGACTAGGGCATGGTGCTCAGTTGCTTAGACTGTTCAATCCAAGGTCAGGGTACATACAAGAATCAACTAATGCATGCATAAATAGGTGGAGCACCAAATCGATGTCTCTCTCTCTCTCTCTCTCTCTCTCTCTCTCTCTCTCTCTCTCAAAGAAAAAAAAAATCACACACACACACACAAGCCTATGGTATCTTTCTTATTCTAATTTACTAACAAATTAAAAGCTTCTTAAAGCCATTAGAAGAAGTAGAATGTTCAGCAAAGTTGTTTTTCTATGAAAAAAAGTGTAAATGGGGGCCCTTATGGGTTTGGCTCAGTGGATAGAGTGTCAGACTGGGGACTGAAGGGTCCCAAGTTCTATTCCGGTCAAGGGCTGTTGCGGGCTTGATCCCTAGGAAAGGTTATGCAGCCAACTAATGATTCTCATCATTGATGTTTCTATCTCTCTCTCCCTCTCCCTTCCTCTCTGAAATCAATTAAAAAAAAGAAAAAAGAAAGAAAAAAATATGACACAAAGGGGACAAGCATCTTGGGAGAACAGAGTTTATTTTACATCTGCTCCATTTTTTGGCCTGAAAATCAAGGGGTCTGCTTTGGTTCTGTTTTTCTTTATGGAATAGTGATAGGGTGTTGGTGCCTCCCCGCTACTTACTTTCTTTCTTTTTTCCCCCCTCAATTAAACAAGGCAAAGTCTAAACATGATGTTCAGTCTATTTCTGAATCACTGGCAAGCAGTTAATTTTGAGGATTGAAAATTAAAACTATAACCACAGCAGTTGTTAAAACTAGGGTTTTTATAGGCAGAAATCCAATTCCGTTCAGACACCACCTGTTTCAATAGGACATCTCAGACGCCCATTTGGCACGATTTGCTGGAGATGACATGGGAGTGTGCTTACAGTGTGTGTGAAGTCTGTAGCATAATGCAGTCCTGTTTTTCAGAGTGACAGTTGCATTTATATGTAGTATGTTTTTGCAAGGAATAAATTGGAATTTTTCCCCCCCGAAACTCTGCTTATTGTAAAGAGGAATTCAAGTCCACTGTGGTCTTCCAACAAGGTGCTTTGGTTATTAAAGGGCCAAAGGCATCTTCTGATAAGGAGCTTTCACTAATACCACTGTGTCAAGCCATCTGGACATAGCATTTTATCACAGGGTTCTGGAATGCATTTTGTGTAGGGTTGTTTACTATTTCCTTTTACAAGGAAGTTTTGAACCCTGCTAATTTATAAACGGTACAGGTCACAGTTTCTCCCCCTAAAACTTGAATGTTTTTGAATAGCTAAATACACACACAATACAAAATAACATATACTGAGTTGAATCTTCCTTCAGGCCACCAAAAAAGCTATATCGTATAACCTTTTTACATAGTTCTTTGTGTACATGGATGATTGTATTTGTAGGATACATTCCTAGGAGTAAATTCATGACTCCAAGGCGAAGTGGAATTTAAATTTTGATAGACATTTACAAATTGTCTGCCAAAGGAGTTATACTACTCTGTGCTTGCAACAACAATGTGAGAGAATATCTACTCCACACGGTGATCCTATGAAAAAATTTCCCCCAATCTGATGAGTGAAAATGATATCTCATTTTTAATTCACTTTTCATTTATGAGTTAACAATGAGCATCTTTTCATATGTTTAAAAGCCATTTTAATTTCCTGTCAAAGGCCACGTTTTAATGTATGTGAAGTTGGAACTATTCTAAGTGTTTCAGTTTCATCTTAAATTTATGGGTAGTCTTCCCACATACGTCCATTTGGAGAGGTTACCAAAAGATACGGAAGCCTCTTCAACCAAGATCGGTGTTTTCTGGCTTTCTTCAACGTGTAACAAATGATTTTCTTAGGAACTGATTGGTCAAGTCTTTGGCTCCTAAAAATATAAGTGGCTTTTGTGGCAACCTCATCTCTACAGGCTGTTTATTTTTAAAATGACTCAAAAATAATAAAATATTCTTTTAGTGGCTGTTACTGGACAGCTTCATCGAATTTTTGGATATTTGTTTTGGAACATGTATGCATTTTCATTATTTTCTGAAAGCTGTCATCTTGTGATCTTCTGCCTCAAACAAATGAAAGGATGCTTCTGTTTTTCACTGGCACTTATAATAAAAGATGATTAATTTGAATAATCTCAAGATCAAGCAGGCCGCCTCATTTACTTGGTGGTTTCTCAGGGCTGAGGTTCATTTTCTGTCATACTTGTTTTTTTCTCTCCTTTCTGTATCTTTGGTTCTCTCCCAAAATTAAGTCATGACAGTAAAATGTACATAGACATGATAAATAGGTTGTCAGCTTTGTGAGCTTTAACTCCAAATGTGACGTTGACCTCATGCATTTTTAGGGAAAGTCTGGTCATGGGAGTAGAAGGTTATTTATGTCACTCAGCATGCTATGGTTTAATGTCTTCTGAAAGTTAGTCACATAAGGGGATCTCGGGATAGTTACAGACTTTTGAAAACCTGCACCAAAATCTGTGTGTGTTATAGGACAGTTTTCCTGCCTTCTCAGCTACCTACCAGTAGTTGCTTTTTGGTAAGAAAGAGGATTACAGGAACACCCTCTTCACCCAGTGCAAAGCTCAAATACCCTTACTGCGTCAATTGAGCTAAGGCTGAAGGAAAAAAACGAGGCAGGTCAGTGTTCCTAGAATGGAAAACCAGGGGTTCAGATTCCTTGTCCCTTCTGGGCTCATTCTATACTTGTTTCAAAGCTGCATCTGAAGTCTGTCTAACCTGAGTCTGTTCCCTTACCCTAGGATGTAAAGAAGAACAGCCTATTTTGACTATCCCCATTGGATATTTTGGTGGGTTCATACTCTATAACATTAAGTAAAAACAATTTGTGGGAGTGGGTAGAGAAGAAGAGGGAAACTATGAATACCATTTTATTTTCTGAAATTTTATTCCACACATTGTAAGAAAACATGCCAGTGATAAGGATCTGAAGGTTGCAGTTTAAAAATAAATGTCTGAGTCTCTTGAAATAGATATTTGTGTTTAATTTTTGAGGAATGAGGATAAATGGTAGGTGATTTAATCTAATGATCCCCATAAGGGATGTAGCCATTGTGTGATAAAAAGAAGGTTTGATTAGAAAGCTGAAGGCATTGATTCAGTTCTTGGATCTGCTACTAATTCACCCTGGGCTTTAGGTTAGTGTAAATCTAAAAGAAGCATAACATCTCCCCCTCCCCCAACTTGAGATTATTAAGTAAAATGTTGGTACATAGCAAATAATATGTAATCACTATATTTTACATTGTATTGTTTATACAGATAAGATCCCATGAAATGTTTATATTATCACTTAATACAGTATATTAGACATAAATTAATGAGTTTTAAACTCTGTGGGTTCCTTTATTTTTGTTCTTCAAAAACTCACACTTCAGAGTACTGATGTCAAAATTTTGGTAGTTAAAAAAGTTACAAGTGGTATTTTATTTTATTTTATTTTTGTTGTTAGTGGTGGTGGTGATATTCTTTTCACCTTATGGCTCCCAGCTTTTCAAAATTAAATTTACTGGCTTAAGGCCTAAAGACTGTAAATGGAAAATTTGAGATTATTTCTTAATGGTTATGAATACAGAAATATGATGGTCTAGTTTTTAATCCGTGTTTGTGTGACTATATGGACCATATTAGATCTGTTATTTGGAAAAATTTATATTTTAATATAGATCATTGAAGGGGTAGATTTTGTAACTTACATTCTTCTTTTTGTAACTTGTTTTTATAGATCTTGTAAATTTTGCAAATGTCATTCTCCCCTTCCCTTCTCTTATAGGGTAGATTGGAGGCCTGTGGGTAGTGTGAAATGGTTAAATATAAAAAGGCTTCATTAATGGAAATATTGAGTAAAATAAGAATGCCCTATCCATAAAACAAACTAGTCCACTCAACCACAGTTAGAGAAAAAGTGTAGGTATAATAAAAATCTAGTTAACTTCACGAGTTTCAGTCGTAATGCAAGCTCTTAGTGGCTCAGGGATAGATTTTGGTTGGATTCTGTTGGCAGAACTCTACACATATAGTGTCTATTTTGTCTTTGGAAAAATTAGGAATAAGTGCCTTCATTTTTCCTTGCCTCGTGAAGCTCAGCCCAGGGAACACAGCATGGCTAGAGCGGCACTGCTGGATTTCAGCTTGTTCTCGTCCCGCTGACCAAGCACCCTTGTGCAGGGTACATTCTGGGAAACCATGGACAATAGTGGCTCTGATTATAGGTTTAGACAAAAAGGAGATTTTGCTGTAGAAAGTAACTATCTTGTCTGAGAGAGTCTAGGCAGAAGTAACCCGGAAAAATGATGAGTAAAAATTTCCTGAAAATTTGTTCACAGATTGCGTCAGTTTGAAACAGCCTTGTCCCTTCTAAGGGCTAGACTGGCCTCTTATTATGCAACTCTGCTTTGTTGTATTTTTGGCTATGACACTACTAGTAGCCCTGTGTATGAATCCGGGCGCCAGTAGCTTGCTGCTGCCCTCCTGTAGCTCCCCCCCTTCCCCCGCCCTCTCTCCATGGCCTCCCCACCCTCCCCATAGCTTGCTGCCCTGCCCCCTCCTGTAGCTCTCAGCCTCCTACTTGTAGCCAGTACTTTGCTGCCACCCTCTTGTAGCTCTCTGCCTGCTGCCCTGTCCTCCTGTAGCTCCCTCTAACCCCTTACCCGCCTCATAGCTTGCTGCCCTGCCCCCTCCCACAGGAGCTATGAGGGAGGGGGCGGGGGAAGATAGTTACTTTCTACATCAGAGGGAGCTCTCTGCCCCGCCCTCCTGCTGATCCATGATCTGGCTGTTATGTAGTCGGTCATTACGCTTCATGGCATAACGACCATTTTCATATTACGTCTTTATTATATAGGATTATCTGACATCCATAGATATCTATAAAGGTCTGGTTTAAGTACAGGGAGCAAGAAGTTGTGCTTCAAATGTCAGTGACTATGAGACCAGACTAACCCTTTGGAAGGACAATGTCACAGAAACTGGAAGGCCAGTTGAATAATGTAGCCCTTGCTATTGGGAATAAATAATAAATCACTACACGATGAGTGGTGACTTACTATTTTTTTTAAGTAAACTAAAGTGTAATTTTCCTTTCTGATAAATTTTGAGCTCTGCCTGTTCTAGTAAAGAGTGCATCAATGAACTCCAGATCAGGAATATTCTAGATCTTAACAGTCACCATGAATAAAAATGGCTTTAACTATTTCCAGTCTTATGATCTACTGGGGTTTTTATTCTGGCATTAAGAAGGGTTCAGTAATCTGGAGAAAGTCCGTGTGTAACTTAAGTAAAAGTCCAGAGATGAAACATAATTTTGAAAGGCATATTGGGGAAGGCAGAGGAGCCTGGCTGAAGAAACCAAGTTCTCCTTGTCTCAGGACTCCTTGTTTTTTATTAACACAAATTGCCCTAAGGCAGTGTTTCCCAAAGTGTGGTATGCATACCCCCAGGGGTACTGGAAGAGTTTGGTGGGGGTATGCACTGCACCATGCTTAGCTGCGCCTAGCCTAATTCTTCGATCTCATGAGTACCAGGGGTACTCAGTGTTACGAAAATTATAGAAGGGGTACACATATGCCCCTTTGGGAAACACTGTCCTAAGGCAAGGTGGAGATATACACTTCAAAGGGTAGGGTTTCATACAAAAGCATTGTCAGATTGGGGAATTGCCTTCTGCTGTTCAGGTGTTTGGCCAATAGGAGGCAATAACATTTAGATTAAGATGCCCTGAGCTGTCTGGCAGCAAACAATCACCCTTTTCAGGTTTGGGGAAATGCCTTCAGCCATTCCCAACAGGTGATAGCATATGTGACTCAACCTTGTTGAGCCCTCAAATTCCATCAACGTTTTGATGAAACTCTTGCAATTGTGACAATGCTGGAATTGGCTTCCTGCAAAGATGCACTTTATTTGCTTTGACTCTTCACAGAAGTCCCAAAGTTAGGTTTGGAACTTGATTTTGTTGAGTCTTATTTCTTTAATGTCCCATCTATAGTCTTTCTTCCTAGATTTGTTTCTACTCTCTTTTTCCTTCCTTTTTATTTAATTATTTTTATTTATTTATACTCCCCCCCCCCAATTACAACTTACATTCAGTATTATTTTGTATTAGTTTCAGTAGTACAGCGTAGTGGTTAGACAATCATTTGTTTTTTCTGATCATCATGCTCCTCCCCCAGGGTCATATTTCTTGACTTTCTCTCCTTCATCCACATGATACCTTGTGATCATCGTATCTGACCCCATTCTTCCTGCTTTTTTATTCTTCGCCCTAAGGGATTTTTGTGGTTTGTGCACATACTCCCAATTTTTCCTTCAGTTCTTTTTCTTTTTGATTAAAAATGTTATACTTAAATCTTTATTCTGATGTACTTTTTTTAAAAAAAAAAGAAAAATGCATTGAGGTTAGGGAAGTTTGTGCCTCTGCACTGCAGAGCAATACGTGCACAGAAATAAAGCTCACAGGCACAGAAATAAAGCTGCACTTGACTAATTAGCCTTGAAGGTAGTAATCAAACCTCTGTGAATTGCTGAGATATGTAGGAACTTTCTCTCTGCTTGATATTCTGAATACCTATCCTGACTCCTTTTTGTGAAGAGGACAAATGTAGCACAGCAGTTAAAAGGACAGACTCTGTTATGAAACAGACTTTCCCCGCGGCCCCCCCCCCCCCCCCCCCCCCCCCCCGGCTGACATTGGCACTTGGTAGCTGTGTAACTTTGGACAAATGATTCATCTCTATTGGTTGTTTCCTCATTTGTAAAATAAATAAGACACACATATACATACATACACTTTCATAGCTGAAGGGAATCTTTGAAGTAATAGTCCAAGCACCCCATTCTACAGATGAGCAAATTAAGGCATCAAATACTGAAATGATTAGTCAAGCAAGGGATCATAAGTCAGGGTTTTCAGTGTTCTTGCATATTTTTTTTTTTTTAATATATTTTATTGATGTTTTTACAGAGAGGAAGGGAAATGGAGAGAGAGTCAGAAACATTGATAAGAGAGAAACATCAATCAGTTGCCTCCCGCACACCATCCCCTGGGGATGTGCCAGCAACCAAGGTGCATGTCCCTGACTGGAATGGAACCTGGGACCCTTCAGGCTCTATCCCCTGAGCCAAACTGGTCAGGGCTTGCATATTCTTTTTGCAATAACGTAGTAACACAGAGTAACATTAGTGTTCTTTTGAAAATGCAATTAAAAGGGGCAGGGAATTAGAAATAAAACAACCCCTCAGGGTCATCTCTCCTGGTTGCCGCAGGACCGAACACTACGGTAATCTTGCACGAGTCCCCTTCCTGAAGACAGCTGGACAAATGGTTGAGTGGAGCAGCTTGCTTGTTGTTGGCAGCAGCCTTTATCCTTTTGTTTTTTTGCTTCATAGACTGAAGGTCTCTGTATTTCTCTTGCTTCTGAGAATCCAACTTGTGTGGAGAAAATGATAATTAAGAACCCACTCCCTCACCACCCAAACTTTCTTAAGCCAGTATCAACCTATCTGTGGGGATTGGTTGCATTTTTGTTTTCTGTAAATTAGAGGCCGGCATACTTTTTGTAGTCATTTCCCTCCCCCATCAGAATAGCAAGGGTATACATGACTTTAGAAGTGGTTTTTCTTGGCATTAACAGCATATGCAAAAGACTGTAATAAAGCCAACAAATAACTTTGTAATCTACCAGGTTTTGAAAGTAGAAATGCAAATAAATCATGGGTAGCAGTGATTCTTTTAGTGCTTAGATATTAAAAGGCTTTCTCCTCAGGGTTGGAAAGTTGGATGGTAATACACTTTATTAGAATCAGCTTACTGAAGCTGGCTTGCCACCTCTTCTTTGAAGAAGCTACTTTGATTAATTCTCTCTCTCTCTCTCTCTCTCCTCTCTGCCTGGAGTCCGCGCCCGCCGAGCCGCTCGCTCCTCTCCCCCCGCCCTCCCCCACCCCCCCCTCCTCCCCACCCTCCTCTCTCCCCTCTCTGGCTTCCCTCTCTCTCTCCCTTTTCCTCCTCTCCCTCTCTCCCTCTCTTCCTCTCTCTCTCTCTCTCTCTCTCTCTCTCTCTCTCTCTCTCCCTCTCTCTCTCCCTTCCTCTCTCCCTCTCTCCCTCTCTCCTCTCTCCTCTCTCCTCTCTTCCCCACCCTCTCTCTCTTCCCTCATTTCACTCTCCCCCCTTTCTTTCTCCCCCTCCCTCCCTCCTTCCCACCTCTGCCTCTCCCTCTCTTTCTCTCTCCCTCTCTCTCTTTCTCTTCAAATCTCCCACTCTCCCCCAAATCAGGATACATGACTAAAACTGGTTCCGAGTATTTTAATCTAGGACAGGTAAGACAGCTCAGAAAATCCAAGATGCTTTTCAAGTCCTTCTAAGACTTCTGGCAGAAGATTTTTATCCTTTTGTTTTTTGCTTCATAGATTGAAATTCCCTGAACAAAACTGATGTCTCCTGATTCTGAAAATCCAGTGTGAGAAGACCTTCCTAAGTCTTGTCCTATTTCTAGTTTTCATGTACCAGTCTGTATTCCTCCCACCTCCTGCCCAGAAAGCTCTAGATGTTTAATAAAACAAAAATAAAAATTTCCTTCTATGTGGTTTTTCTTTTGTGTGTTTGTTTTTACCCCCCTTTCTAACCAAACTCTACCCTCATCAATTTCAGAAGCTAATTAATTTATACATTGTTATCTTCTGAGAGGTCTAAAACAACTCAGGTTCGTTTCCTAAAAGAAATAGAAAGAAAATAAAACAAAGACATTTCTAGCTGCAGTCTGGGCTGCCCTGGTGTGCTTTTAGGAGAAAAAGCTGCAGCACATGAAGGCATCCTGATCTCTTGGGGGACGGGGGAGGGGAGGAGGTGAAACAAACTTTATTATTGGGCCCACTCCTATTTCACGCCAAGCAGCCTCTGAAGGCTTCTAAGTCCAGGAATGGCAATAAATAAATAAATAAATAAAATTATATATATATATATATATATATATATATATATATATATATATATATATATATATCCCCCTCTCTCTTAGAAAGCTGGTTATTTGTGTAAATCTGTCAGGTGGTCAAACTGTCTTGTTTCTGTAACAGACCCGACCCAGTGGGGCAGATTTAGTTTATTTGCAGATACATATTTGAATTTATATTAGAACTTTATAGTCTATATTTTTTTAACATAAACAACTGGTTTTAATTGGGAGGAGATGGACTAGGATTTCAGGTTATGTGTGTTTTGTTTTGTTTTTGTGTGTGGTATAGAATGGCAACTTCGTTTGGCACTTTCGAAAGCAAACCATTCTTTTTCCTTCCATTAGAAAGTGATGATTTAGCTGACAAATCTAAATTTGTGTAAGAGAGCCTTGGCTCCCTTTGGGAGGGTGTGTAGACTCCTCTTAAAAGAATATGGTGCAGTTTATGTTTGCTCAATGTGATATGGTTCATGGAGAGAGAAGCAAGTGGAGTGAATTGAACAGACTGCAGATTCTTCTTGATTTTGATGCCTTTCTTTAGTTTGTTATGCATAGATTGATACATGGGTCTCTTCAAAATTCTCTTATTTACTTTATAATTTCTAAAAAAATTGTAATCTCAAATATGTATAGAAGTTGTGATATGTACAAAGAGTTTTTCTTACCTAAACCATTTGAGATGAAATTGCCAACATGATGCCCCATCATCCTTGAATACTTACTGTTTATTTCTTGCAAGCAAGGATATTTGCTTACATATATATAGCCTGATAACAACCATTAAAATCAGGAATCAGCACTGGGACATGACCACAGCTCTACTCTTTGTCCTATTTAGATTTTGAAGATTGTTCCACTGAACTCCTTTATTTGTATACAAAAGGATCCAGTCTAGAATTGTATGTAGCATTTGGTTGTCATGTCTCTCTAATCCCCTCCAACTGGGAAGTGTTTCTTGATCTTTCCTTGCTTTAATGAACTTGAAATTTCTGATGATTTCAAGCCAATTATTTAGTAGATGGCCCTGAATTTGGGTTTGTGCGATATTTCCTCAGGACTAGATTCAGATTATGCGTCTCTGGCAGGAATATTACAGAAGTGATGCTGGGCTGCTCTTATTGCACCCGCTCACGTGGTCCTGATTTTCATTGTACCATTTCATTACTACCGTGATGTTACTCTGGCCACTTGTCCGCCAGGCTTCTCTGCTGTAAGTTACTTTGCAAATAATAAGTATTTTATCAGGTGGTGCTTTGAGAAAATGTATAGATCTGATTCCTACTCAAACTTAAGTTTATTCTTATATTTATTATGTCATCATAGATATAATGGATATATATTTTTTTTCAATGGATTATAATCTCTTACTATTGTTATTTATTTTCATGTTTAAATTGTCCTGATTTGGCCAGTGGGAAACCCTTCAATCTAGTTTCTTGACAAGCTCTGGTCAGTCTTTGCATTCTTTGTACTTTCCTTATCCCAACCCTCGATGCAGCCATTTCTTCACTGAGCAGCCACATTTTGTGGCTCTGAGCCTCGGCATGGATGCTTTTACTCATATCACCACTCTCTCCTCTGCTCCTTTTGCCTACTTTGCTTGGCTCCATCCTAATAGCTTTTGTTCCAAATTGTTCAGGAAGAGAGAGGGCACATTTTGTTTTGATTTAATCAGTTACATTAGCACTGTGTGGATGGGGACTATAACACTTTATCTAGCATCTCCAAGTGCCTGCCATATAAATAAACTAGAGGCCAGTGCACAAAATCATGTACAGGTGAGGTCCAGACAGCCTGCCCCAATGTGGGGGCCTGTTGGGCTGGGCAGCAGGGCTGGTGGAACATGGGCTGTTGGCTGGCCAGCTCCACCCCCAATCATGGTGTTGGAAGCCAGTTGGGGGCAGGGCCAGTGGAGGGAAGGGGCTGTGGGAAGTTGGAAGCCATCCCTGCCCCTAATAGGGATGTTGGGAGCCGATTGGGGAGGCAAGCCAGCTGTGGGGGGAAGGGGCAATCAGGGCCTGGATCAGGCTGGTTGGCTGCTACTTTGTACATCGTAGCCATCATAGCCACTGGTCATTCTGATTGTTCTGCTGTTCCAGTTGCTAGGCTCATACACACACACACATACACAAACACACACACACACACACACACACACACACACACACATTCAATAAGGGTATACATTCACTCAAAGACAAATACTTAGAATGTATCTTTTTGGAGTAGGTCATTATTCTGGATGCTAGGAGGACACAAAGTGAACCTAATATTAAACAAAAAACAAAAAACAAAAAACAAAACAAAACAAAAAAAAAACAAGAAAAAATATACTTAGTAGGAGCCCTGTGAGGAGAAATAGTTCTTTGTGGATGGGAATAATTGTGTAAGGCAGCCATTTCCGCAAGTGGGATTCTTTACATTAATATCTATTCAATGAGAAAAGTTCTGACTTTGCACTTTTAAAACTGTAGTTCTTATTAGAGTGCACAGACTTAATGTGTTGCAATTTTTTTTTTAGCCTAGGAAATTTCTCCTATTACTCTAGCTCTGCTTTTCTCCCAGGCTGAAGGTCACTGGTGTCTTGCATATAGCTAACTCTGCTTTTCTAAAACACAGATGCAAATTCTGATAATATAGAAATGTTATCTTAGTTAACTCCACCTGTAATTTGTTCGTTTCTACACCATTGACCAGAAATACTTCCAGAGAGAAAAAAGTGATTTTTTTTCATTATACTTTAGATAATAAGTAATAAGGATATAGAAACAGAATAGATCATAAGCTCCTTTCTATTAACAGAGTGACTCATCTATGTTAGTTCATTTAACTCACAGTACATAGCATATAACCACACTTTCTCTTTTGCATTATAAAATTATTCAAGTACTTAATCACTCAACGCATTTTTGATTGCCTATTCTTTTCTAAGAACCTACCTCACAGAATTCTTAAAGAATTAAAGGAGATAATGTGTATACTTGGTTCAAAGCAGCTAATAAATGTGTTCATTGAAGCACAATGTGCATTTCTCTTACTGGACAATAATGTTCTGACATCAGGAATTTTCATTTTTCTTAAAAATAAAAATGTTATTATGTTATCTATAGAATTATATGTAATATATATATATATATATATATATATATATATATATATATGGATTATAAAATAAACACCCAAACCTGCCATTCAATTTTAGAGTGAGAATTCTCAATCTGGGCCCCATTGCACAGATTCTTATTCTGGAGGTCTGGGATGGAGCTCAAAAACCTGAATTCCTAACAAGCATTCAGATAATACCAGTGTTGCTGGTCCCCTGACCACATTTAGAACAATACAGCTGACCATATTGAGAGCAATTCAGCTTTAGGGTATATATCTATAAATGGAATTGCTGGCTCATAGGGCATTCCAATATTTAGCTTTTTTATTATTTTATATAGTGGCTGTGACACTTTAGATTCCTAGATCAGCAATGTGGAAAGAGATCTCATTGCTGTCTTTCTAGTCAATGTTGCAATGGCTGTAGTTCTATAATATGGTTTCTATATGATGTGACAAATTCGATTACATAATTCTTTTTTCTTCCTATAAATTTTAGTATTAGTTTAAGTGCTTTGAAAAACTTTTATTAGGATTTTGATTGAAATTACATTGAATCTGTGGATAATGCGTGTTCTTATGTACGAACCTAATCTATTAGTTCATTTAGTCTTCTGTGCCATTGAGTAGGCATAAAACTGTATCTTATCATTATCTTATTTTTCATTTCATTGATTAGTAGTAAAGAGGCTGAGCACACACCTCAGTGGCCTTTCTTGTTTCTTCTTGAAATGTTTGTTTTCATGTGTTTTGCTTATTTTTCTATTTATTTGTTGGGGGTCTTTTTATATTCTGGAGATATGATTCTATTGTTGGTTATCCCACAGGTAGCTTTTCCTAGTTTGTCCATTTAGTAGTATTTTTATTTGCTTTATGACACACACACACACACACACACACACACACTAGCAGAAATTCTTAACATGGTCAAACTTTTATGGCTAGTTTTAAATTTTAATGTGGTCAAACATTTTATGGCTAGTTCTTTTTGAGTCCCATTTAATATGTTCTTCTCTATCCCTAGTTCAATATAGATAATCTCCTGTATTTTCCCCCAACACGTTTGAGAAGTCTTGTCTACCATTTAAATATTTTCAAACATCTGGAATTCATTTTATGTATGGTATGAGGTAAGAGTCTAATTTAAATTTTTTCCTATATAGAAAACCAGTCCAGGCACCTTTTATTGAGTTGTCTATGTTTTCCTCAGAGATCTACAGTACTTACCTTGTCAAAGGTCAGACTTTCATATATTTATGAATCGGCTGGGGAGATGTGGTTCATTTCTGTCCCTTTGGTCAGTTGAACTCTGCAGCAGTGTCATGGTGTTGTAATGGCTGTAGTTTTATCAAGTGACTCTCATATGGCGTGACAAATTCTATTACCTAATTCTTTTTTCTTCCTATAAATTTTAGAATTAGTTTAAGTGCTTTGAAAACCTCTTATTAGGGTTTTGATTGAAATTACATTGAATCTGTGGATAATGGGTGTTCTTATGTACGAACCTAACCT